TCCTGCTGTCGTGCCTGCTCTTCGCGGCGATCAACCGCCACCAGCGCGGGCCCTACATGGACGAGGCCTTCCACGTCCCCCAGGCGCAGGCCTACTGCCACGGCCGCTTCCTCCAGGTGCTGCGCGGGAGCCGTCCCGGCTCGTGTTTTCCAGTCAGGATCGATGATTTCTATAAACATACCGTGGGCGCTTTGAAAAGGGAATCATTTGTGGTCATTGTTGTCCAAAACGCTGGTTTCTGCTCTCTCTTACTCGGTGGTGCAGTAGTGCGCAGGGCAGGATACAAAGTGTTCAAAAATGTCAGTCTAATAATGCCAGAAATTCGCTAAACATCCAAGCTAACAGAATGGGGCGTGGGTAGGGACGGTACCTCGTAACCCGTCGCGCGCCTCTGGTCCCGTTTTCGTGTGGTAGCAGCTCCGTAACCCTGTTTCCCTCTCCGCTTTCCAGTGGGATCCCATGATCACCACCCTGCCGGGCTTGTACCTGGTCTCGGTGGGAGCAGTGAAGCCCGCGGCGTGGCTCTTCGGATGGACGGGAAGCGTGGTGTGCTCTGCGGGAATGCTCAGGTTTATTAACCTCCTTTTCAGTGCTGGGAACTTCTATTTACTGTATTTACTTCTGTTCAAGATCCATCAAAAGAATAAGGTACGGTCAAAGTAGAATAATTTTATGCGCTCATACAAGCAATTTTGATGGCTCTGTGTGTGTTCACTTCACTACATATGTGAGCTGTCCTCAGTTTTGTATAACTGCAAGTACTACTACCAGTTTGGCCAAGTCCTTTTCTCTAAATTTTTTTAATGTCTTTTTTCTCTCTCAGGGTGCAATCCTCTAAAAATTTACTCTTGTGCATTACTATAAGTAGTCCCATTGAAATAAAAGTTAAAGTTAGTACGCATATAGGCTTACTATCCAAAGGTCTGAATGCTCGTCTAGTTGGAATTGCTTCAGACTCTCCCCAAAACTTCAACCAGTGAATCCTGAGTGAAGCCCTGTGAGCTGTGTTTAAACTAAAATGTGTTCTTTAGAAAGATACCAGGTTTGATGTCAATATTTAGAACCGGAGAATAATTCAAGTTGGAAAGAATTGGAGAATGATTCAGGTTGGAAGGGACCTTAGGAAGTCCAACCTCCAGCTCAGAGCAGGCCAGCTCTGAGATCAGACCACATTGCTCAGGGTTGGGGCCTGGAAAACTCTCCAAGGATGGAGAGTGACTGCACAACCTCTCTGGGCAACCTGTTCCATGCCTGACTGGCCTTACGGTGAAGGTTTTTCTTACATCCGGTCTGAACCTTGCATTTCAGTTTAGGACTCTTGTCTCTTGTCCTCCCACCGTGTACCACTTTGAGGAGCCTGGCTCCCTTTACCTGTTGACATCTTCAGAGGTATTGCTAGGCTGCTGTTTGGTCTCCCCAAGACATCTATTTTCCAGGCTGAACAAGGCCAGCTCCCTCAGCCTTTACTCCTAGGGCAGGTGCTTCAGCCCTCAACTGTCTTGGTGGCCCTCTGCCATTGCTGCAGTTTACTAGTGCCTTTTTTGTATCACAGGGCACAAAACTGGATGTGGTATTCTAGGTGCAGCTGAACAAATAGAGTAAAGAGGGATAATAATTTCCCTTGATCTGCTGCTGTGCTCCTGTTAATGCAGCCCAGGAGGCTGTTGCTGTTCCTTAGTGCTAGGGCATGCTGCCAGCTCATGTTCACCTTGCTATCTGCCAAGGCCCCCAGGTCCCTTCCCACAGAGCAGCAGTTCCTCACCTACTCTGTGCCCAGCCTGTGTCATTGTGGGGATTTCTTCCTTTCCAGGTGCAGGCATTTGCATTTGTCCTTGTTGAATTTTGTAGTATTTCTGTTGCCCCATTCCTCCAGCCTGACCCATCTAGGTCACTCTGGATGGCAACTCTGCTCTTCAGCATATTGCCTGGTCCCCCCAGTTTAGTATCATCTGCAGACTTGATGAGAATGTACTGTCGCTGCCTTCAAGTCATCAATAAAGATGTTAAACAAGACAGATCCCAGTATAGATCCCTGTGATAGTCTGGTTGCTACACTCGCCTTTGGATGGAGTGTGGCCAGTTAACCATCCAGACAGTTTTTACCTGTCTAGCTGTCCACGCACCCAGACCGTAACAGTTCAACTTGGATACAAGAATATTGTATGTTTAAAGTGGTGGAGCAACCACCACTGCAGTAGGTAAATTGTTCCAGTGGTTAATGGCCTATTCAAAATCTTTCACCTTAGTGAAGTTCTTTAGTTTCACCTTAACCATAAAGATATTTTTTCCTGTTCCCCGATAACTGAAGGATTCCTTTACTGTAAAGAAAATTTCTTCTGATCTATTTTCTTACAGGAGATTCTTCATGTTTAAGCACATGGTAGGACTATACAGAATTGGGTCAAATTCAATAAATTGTTTCCACTTTCGGAACACTTTTAATTTTATACTTGGAGGTGGAAATACAAATGTAAGAAAACAAAAGGTTTCGTGACAGTAGTCTAGGCATTAGAAAATGTAGTTGTATTGTTGGCACTTCTTTGAACTCAGCATTTTCTCTGTTCCTCTTTTCTGTAAGGTGGTGACTGGCTGTTTCACCCCACGCTACATCATTCAGAAACAACATGCAACGTTTTTTAATGTTGTGAATTGCGTTGCATCATGTAGTGAGTGGGATAACTGGGAGGAGTTTTTAACTGCATGGTCTCCTTCCTTCTTTAAAGTTTCTTTTCTAACTCATGAATTATAATGAAGATAAACAATAAAAGCTGCACCAAAGATTAGAAACTTGGAACTGGCCGCTCTGTGGACTGGCTTCAAAAGAGGCAATAGTATAAGCATAAAATAATGTGTCTGCTGTCTCACAAATAAACGGAATGTGATGATGAAATTGCAGGGGCATAAAACATTGATTTTTTTTTTCTTTTGCCCATTAGTGCAGCTTTTTTATCCTAGGTATGGGAGCAATTATACTCCCACAATGATTTTAATGCCACAAATATGTGAACGCCTGACATATGGAAGAAGTTGGTGTATTTTCGTTGCCATATTTTTAACTCACCTGCAATAATGTTCCATACTTTCATTTGTCTTTTAACATTGTATAGTCTGACACTCTGTACTAACATAGCAGGAGGTTAACAAAAATACAGCATGCATGCTTGTGCAGTAATGGCACCAAAGAGCGTGAGAGATGTCATGTTAATGGAATTCTTAAGAATAATACTCTTTTTTTTTTTTTTAATTTTATTTTTATTGGATGTTGCTAACCACATTTTTCTGCTTCTTCTCTAGGCTGTGTCTGGTTTCCAGAGAATCTTGTCTACATTAACTCTTGCAATGTTTCCCACCCTTTATTTTTTTACATTCCTTTATTACACGGACCCAGGTTCAGTATTTTTTACTCTCTTTGCCTATTTAATGTGCCTTTATGGTAACCATAAAACTTCAGCTCTCCTTGGATTTTGTGGCTTCATGTTTCGTCAGACGAATATTGTGTGGACAGTTTTTTGTGCTGGAAATGTTGTTGCAGAGAAGCTAAATGAAGCCTGGAAGACAGAGTTACAGAAAAAGAAAGATGAAAAGATTTCTTCCAGGAAAGGATCATTTTCAGATTTGATCAGAATATTGCAGTTTCTTATTGAATATCTCATAACACCTAAAAACCTAGTTATACTTACTGCTTTAACTTGGCCATACATCATATTAGTAACTGTGTTCTTCGTTTTTGTCTTCATCAATGGTGGAATAGTTGTTGGTGACAGAAGTAGCCACGAAGCCTGTTTGCACTTTCCTCAGCTGTTCTATTTTCTGTCCTTCACTGTCTTTTTTTCATTCCCTCATTTATTGACCCCTACTAAAATCAGGAAATTCCTTCTGTCATTACGAAAGCACCCTGTGCAGTACAGCTTAATTGCCGTTATCTCTTTATTCCTGATCTGGAAATTTACTTATGTTCATAAGTATTTACTAGCAGATAACAGACACTATACATTCTATGTTTGGAGAAAAGTCTTCCAAAGACACGATCTTGTAAAATATGTATTGGTTCCAGTCTATATATTTGCTGGCTGGAGTTTTGCTGATACACTAAAATCAAAATCGATATTCTGGATCTTAATGTATTTTGTATGTTTATTAGCAGTCACGGTTCCTCAAAAATTGCTAGAATTTCGTTACTTTATTTTGCCATTCTTAATATATAGGCTCAATATTCCATTTCCATCTCTATATAGACAACTTCTGGAGCTGGCTTTTTATATTGTTGTGAATGCAGTAACTTTTTATCTTTTTCTAAACAGAACATTCCAATGGCCAAATAGTGATGAAATCCAGAGGTTTATGTGGTGACCTTTTTCTTTTTTTTTTTTTTTTTTTGATAACTTTCATACCCTTAGGAGAACCTGGTTCTGTTTCAGGCCTGTGGACTCTGGAATGAAGCAGTATGTTTTGCATTATGTAAGGACTTTTTTCCCCATTTGGAATTTGGGGAATTTTGTTTGTTTATTTCTTGGAACTGAATGCGAGATCTGATTTGTTGTAATGTAAAGATATTCCATATATTGAATTTATAAGCTCCTGGAATTAACAAATTCAATATGAAGGGAAACTTGAGAACACCTTTCTGTATGTGAAATGAGGGAGATGTTTACGGTCATTTTTCATTATAATAAAATATTATATAATATGCCCTTGAAGATATGACAGTTTATGTTTCAGAGGTTTCTCTTTAAAACAAAGTATTTAAGTGTTTAACCTTTTTGTTACCTCTGGGTGCATATTTACTCCTTGGATCAGGCCACTTCCATCTAGGTTTGCTAGCGGTCAAGGTATGAACCACTGCTAAAGTATAATGTTTTCAAAACCTCCTACATCCCACTAAATTTTCATGATTTTTTGTCAATAAATGCTTACGTTAGTTTTGCAGACAGAATGTAGGCTCTTAAATCATTAGAGCATTTTGAAAATTTTATTTCAAACTGATATTTAGAAAATATAGTGGAGGCTATGTGCACGTACCTGCTTTGAGCGAATAAATGTTGTTGTACACCAAAAGATAAATTGCGGTTGATAATGTGACGTATTAGAGAGAGAGAGTTAATTTATGTATGTCAGACTGACACGTGTCATTACACAGTGGAATGCACTCTAATGAATACCCTTTTAAATAATCAGGCTTTTATGTCCTGAGGTTCTGTGTTCACAGGTTTGTATTGAAGTAGGATATGAGTGCACTCCCAAATTGAACTGAGTGTTTCTAAGATCTTTGACGTGTAAATCTTAAAGAAATACTAATGGCATTACTGAATTGTTCTTTTAAATGTTTTTCATATATATAAAAAATCTAATGGAACTAGGGAGTAGGTATTTTGTTTTACAAAGGTAAAATACAATGAGTGTGTGTATATATATATATTTTTAAAAGCATCTAGTGCATTATCATCAGAATAAAAGGCGGCTGTAATGGTTCTTGTGAGTAAATGACTTTAATTAGTCTCAAAAATATTTGATCGCTTAAAGTTAACTATTAAGCACTTTTATAAATATAACTAAATTATGTGGCGGGGGGGATCCAAAACTTCACATACTGTGTAGCATCTTCAAGTTTTTTCTTATTCTGTAGTGAAAATGCTGCAGCCAAATCTATGCAAACATACTGTCTTACTGCCACTCCAGACACTCTGAAATGGAATCGTTTCTCAGAAGGTCAGTACTGTGGAGTTGTTACTCACATCGGTACTGTTAGGTTTTTTTTTCCTTTTACATATGCAGATCTATGTCCTGGCTCTGATCCCTTCCCTGTGCTAACACTATGAAGAGTGTGGTTAACTCAGATTCTCCCATCCAATGTTTTTGCAACCCTGTTTCTTCTAAGGAAACCTTAAAGCCACTCTTCAATGAGTAGGTTTATTTGTATTGAATTTGTTTGCCAGGTCACTGTTTGCTTCTTGGCCTGTTGCCAGCATGGTAATTTGTTGATAATGTGTGTACAATAGGGAAAGCCATTTTCGATCACTCCCTATTTGCTTATATGTAAGTTGAAGGGGCAAGAGAAACGCGGAATGGGTTGCTTTTCAAGAATCCAGCGTGGTTCTTGCAGAGTCCAGGATATTGTCCTCTGTTGTGACTTTAGTATGACAGATTTGGGGGGGGAAGTCTTGCATGCCTTCTGCTTCCAATTTGGTTTTTGTATACCACACCAGTAAAAATGTAAACAAGGTAAAGAGCATCTGTGTATTTTAGTACAACTTCATTTGTGTCTTCAAATGGAAGTATTGAGTGAGTTCAAATGGTAACATGGGAAGGGATGGGGCTCTGGCTAGAATTCTGAATTGTCTTCTAGGTCTGGGTTTTTTTTCTGGCTTTATGTAGGGGAGCAGGTGTTCATTCGCTTGACAAGATGCAAAAATTCCTTTACTTATATAGTCCACGTGTTTTATTTTGTCGAGTATGTCTATTGATACTGCTCTCTGACTGCCTTCGATTATCAGCACTGTTAAGAAACAGTGTTTGTGCTTCCTACTTATTCTTAACAGAGATAGAAGCCATGTTTCAACTGAAAGGAACCAAGTTTAAATATATACAATTTTAATGCATTTCTTTTGTAAAGAAAAGTGAATGCAAAAAGTCCCTGAAAATTTAGAGCACAATACCTTCTAATGAGCTCCACATCACAAGACACTAGAAAAATTACATGTAGAGAGATACCTGTGAACTCTCAGGGTTTTTTTAACCAATATTATAAGACGGCATAATATTTTATCACAGGATTTATCGGCATATTTATATATTTTAATTTAAGAGTACAATTATTCTCAACATATTTTGCTAATTTCAAAGCAGACTGAGTTGATATAAGTTTAAATTAAAGAGGAAAGTCCATGAATTACGAAAACATGAAAGAATTTATTTTTAGAGTAAAGCTATGTTTTCACTTCTGCTGATGAACCACGGGAAGTTTGCAGGTAATATTCAATGTTGGCCTGATTCAGTCTCAGAAATCAAGATGGTTGTAATTATATTGTAATTAGTCATAAAGAAAGGTCTCCAAATTCCATCAAAATCTCTTAGAAATTTGACAAGTAGCAGTAGCATTGTCAAATCTAGATATGAGAACTAGTTAAACGTACTTTATAAACTTGGAGCAAGTATCTTTTGGAAAATTGATTTTAGTATTTTGCTCCCGAAATATTTCCATTGTAGTTGTTCATAATTTATTAGCTATTCATCTTAAAGACTTGCAGAAAGGACTGTGTTTATCCTGGTTTATGTTGCCAAGGTCTTCTAGTTTTGGTAGAACCATAATTGCTTACTTTAGATTAATTCCTCAGCAGGTGTCATTTGGCAATGAAATTACTTACAACAGCATTAAAATGATAATTTATTGTAAATTTCATGAATCAGTTATCCATTTAGAAAAAAATCACACTAACTGGTTGAAATGTCCAAGATGAAAACAAAAATAGCGCAGCTAACATTTTTATAATCGCTGTTTAAAAATAAAGGCTCAGGTTCGTTTTTTTTCAGACAGAAAGAAAATGATGATTTTTCAATAACTGTCAGAAAAATAAAAATAGAGGGCTGAACAGCCACAGCATGACTAAATTGTTTTGAGGTGGAAAAAAAAAAAAGACAAATCATTGAACACATCGTTTTTTCTTTTAGTTAAAAATAGGGGGTTATTTGGGAAGATGGGAAGTTTGTTTGATAATCATATATGCTGTGAACTGTACTTTCTGTTACTCGTGAGCATTCTGTATTTCATTCCTTTTAAGTTCTTTGACAACACATGTTCAAAATTAGCATGAATTTTACACTATAAGCAATATGTGCACGCTGAAATATTTTTTTTATCTGTTACTTTTCTTGTGAGTAGATGAATCAGATGGATTGCTTCTGTTAAAAATATTGTAGGAAAAAGTATTTTGTAGTCCCTGGGGACAGACAGTTGAATTTGTCCCTTTAATGCAGGTCTGATTTTTTTTCCCCCCCCAAGGTGGCAGTCATGTGCCATCTTGTTGAGGTGACCAACTGCTTACTGCAATGCTGCTTGAAGTCATAACGTCAGGGGGTTTAGCAAGACTAATTCTAAGAATTAGAAAACTTCAAGTTCTGTCATGGCTGATTGCTTGTTTTAGTAACTGGTGTAGCTAAAAAATCCTTGCATGTAATTTAAAATATATATTGTATGTTAATTATGTATGTATGTAATTAAGTTTTAGAAGAAGAGCAAGTTTTGCTCATCTCTAAAATGTCTTATTTTGATTTTTTTGTATTTGTGGAATTTTCATGTCTGGTCTGAGAGAACAAAATTAAACTTGAAAGCTTACTGTTGCAATGATGTCATTGTTTTAAACAGTGTAGTTAGTTAGAAAGTCAGCAAATTTCTTTCTGCTGTTTTATTATTAAATTTCACAGCATTCTTATTTTCTTCACATATTCATTCTATTCATTGCTGTCTAAAAAGAAAAAAAATTGGAGGACAAATTGAGGAAAGCAAAGTAATTACACTTTTGAGACTGACACATGGTGATCTTCTGAAATATTCACTCTTTAATTGGATGATGCACATACGAAATATAAATGCTCAAGTGTCTGTTAGCCCTGTAGTAGTTGACATACTGCATTTTAAATGCGTCATCTAGTTTTTGGGTAATGAAAAAGTGTAAAGCCAGAGTCCGTGAAAATGACTGCTTCCAATTATCTCAAATTCTTTGTCTATATTCCGCATCCTAATTTTGTTTTTCCCTGAAAAGCTTTGCTTTCCTTGCTTATCTCTTGTTAGATAGGATATGCTTTTTGTTTTTGATTCAGTGACATTTGCATGTCAGCTGAGGCATCTTTTATTGAAGAACATCCTTCTTAAAAGTATGCTGTAGATGGATGCAGATAATTGGTTTTACTAAGAAACATCATTTTGCAAACAAAAAGACTCTCTCTGTGAGACAGAAGTGCTAACCTAGCTAGCAATGTGTAGCTAAAATGCCCTTAGTTTGTGAGGTTTTTGTGCTTAATCTCAGAATAAGCTCAAGGCCTCATGCTGTTCCTTCAGCTTCAGGAACAGTTGGGATAGGAGGAGCGGGAAGCAAGAGGAAAAATATTTGTACAGGTAATTGCCGTTGCAGTGCTGCCATAGCTAGGAGCATGCAGCCCTACCAGGAGCTGAAATGAGTGGGGTGCTTTTGAGGGTTTTGGGACACCGCTGTATTTGGCAGTGCACTGTGGCTTGCTGAAGTATGTGGTGATACAGGAGAGTTGTTTGCCATGCGTGGGTGGAAAAGTCTTCTCCGGCTGGAAGGAGAAGCTGTTTGTTGCTAGAGCTGGCCTGAGCACTGTGAGAATGATCTTGCTGAAACTTGGGAGCTAAGTGGTTTATTGAAAGATGTTTTGGTACTTAGCTGTGGATCTGTAAATAAAAACTGTTCTTACTGTGTGCAAGAAACGTTGTGAGCTTACTTGAATTGCAACTGTGTGTGTCAGTAATAGGGAAGGGTTTGCTTTCAGTAATAGGAAAGGGGTTGCTTTCATTTTCAGGTTGTTAGTTGCCCAGATACTCTAGTGTTTTTATAAAGCAAAAATTGTCGTATCTTAAAAAATAAACACTTGTAAAACAGTGTCTTCCTATGTGCTTTATATCCTGGTTTTAAGTAGATGTAAATTAATATCCCATGCATTTGATTCAAATTGGTGTGAACTCATATTAATAGCAGCAATGTACGCCTTTTCAAAGATGTAATTGCAAAAGTTCGTGTCCTTAGCTACCTTCAGATCTTCTCTAACAAGATTAGATTTCCATATTTTCATATCAACCCCCCTAAAAAGTATTGTCATAGAAATAATCTTGTGAATATACAATGCAAAAGGAATGGTTATCCTGATTATCGCTGACAGGAATCTCTAATTTTAGGGCACCGCTTCAGACCTGCACGTTTAATACATGTAAATCATGCTGCATTTTCCTGTGTTCCCATCAAATCTCAAACAAAGCATTGCCTGGCTGAATTGAAATTTAAATGACAGGCTTCAAAAGAACAAAGGAGACGCAGTCAGGAATATCACCAGTTTCAGAGATAGCGCTTCACGCTCTGGGTCAGTGCTGAGCAAATGCCACAACATTGTTAGTGGGTGGGAGTAAGCACATCATAACTATAGTCCTGGCAAAGAGCAGCGTGGGTGCTTTATACCTAATGTTTTCTTTGTTGCATATAGGATTTCTCACCCGCTGCTGCTGCACTATATACAAAAGTATATAGTGCTATATAAATGATACTTCCTGTGCTGCTATAGCACTATATACTTTTCATTACCGAGAGGATTATTTTATGCTAGTAGTCCATTGAGATAGCTGTGAAGGTGGGAATTCATCTGTCAGACATCTTGTCAAAACTACCTTCTAGTGCGAACTACTCCCTAGAGTAGCCTCTTTGGGCAGGGCACTCGTGTGA